CCTCACCTGGGCCCCAGCGTGGGCTCTCGTGAAGGGGTCTGGAGCGGGCACCTGGAGGGGGCCTGGAGCCCTCAGGGTGCTTATCTGAGGAGATGCCACACAGGGCTCTGCTGTGCCTCTCTCTGAAGGGAGAGGGGAATGTGACCACTGACACCCACACAGAGAGCTCGAGTCTTGAGACAGCATCTGTCCTCATGGCCCTGCTCGCTGAGCTGCCACCCAAGTCCTTTCCCACGGCTGCTATGACAAAATTCTGCAAAATGGAGGCTTAAAGCCACAGTAATTCCCTCAAGTCATGGAGACCAGTAGTATGAAATCCAGATGTGGACTGAGCCATGCTTCCTCCAAAGCATCCAGGGGTGGATCCTTTCACCTGTGCCAGGCCTGGTGGCCCTGGACATTCCTGGCTGGTGGCCATACTACTCCAGTCTCTGCACCTATCTTCATACATGTCTGTGTCTGACTCTTTGCTTCTCATCAGGACACCAGTCACATTGGATGAGGACTCACTGAATGACCTCATCTTAGACCTTGTTTCAATTAAGGCCACTTCTCTGGTATCAGGACATTAATGTTTTTTAAAAAGACACCCTCAACCCACAACCAGGGCATACCATTCTGCACCATTTCAGACCTTGGCAATCACTCCTCCTTGGGATGGTTGCTACATGTGTCTGCTCACAGTTCCAACTGGACAAGAGAACCCCCAAAGACAGCCAAAGAGGTCCTGAGGTCCTGTGGGCATTCCTGCTTGTCCCCACTGTGGAAGAGCAAGATCGATCCTCTAGTCACAGTGGTGACTTTGCCTCCCACCTGCTGGTCCTCAGACATAAGGAGTCAGGAGAATCCACAGTCAGTGATTCAATGAACTCTGTCCTGTTTCCCTTGGCAAAGGCACTGGACTCCATCTCGCAGCCCCCAGGTTGCAGGATGGGAAGCAAACTCTCGTAGGGTCATGGGTGGTGACATGAGCAGGTCCATTGGTTCTTCTATGCCTACTGGGAATAAACCCCCCATGAGAGGGCTCCAGTAGACTGTGCTGGTTGGCCACCACATCCCACAGAGAGCTCCCTCCAAGCTGGCTGTGCCAGGAGGGACCTCTGTGGTGTGTCCCACTGGGATATGCTAGTTCTCACTAGTGGTAGGGGCAAAGACTGTGAGCTTTGGGATTTCTGGGGTTCTGCGGAGCTGAGGTGCTCAGGGGTCCACCCAGATGTCTGCATCCTGCTGTGGAGATCCTCTAGGTTTTTCCCACTAAGATGTCCCCCCTAGCATAGCACCTGACTTGACTGACTCACCCAGCCTTCTGCTGCAGGGCTAGTCTGCAGCTGCCAGAGAAGCCTGCAGCCCTCAGGCTGCACTCGCACTGTGTTGGCTCCCCGCCTTCTCATTCTCCTGCTTTAGAGCATCAGCGCTGCTGACTACAAAACAGCCAATCCCGCAGTCTGTGTAAGTACTCTCCCTTCCATGTTCCCTGATGCCCGACTCATCCCACATGCAAGGGCCTTTCCCCAGGTACCCACAGTGAGGCTTCCAGCCGCTGGGCTGCCACCTGGAGCCAGGGACTGTGCACACCACAGACCATCCCCCAGCTTGAATCTTCCTGTCCAGACCCAAGTGACTCACTCTCTAGACCCCAACTTTCCACTAGTTGGTCAGGTGGCTGCTGGTGCCATCTGTGGCAGTCTAAAAGTCAAAAAGCAGATGGCAAAAGAGAATTATATAATCATATCACAATAAAATAATACCAATATTATATATATATATATATATATATATTATATATCACTATATATATATATAGTGATCTTCAATCTATTTTAATGTACTTGTTTCAATTTTGTTGGAAGATATACAGAATTGTAAACTGTGGCTGAAGTGTGAAGTCAGGGGCGTCCCCCTGAGTGGGGAAGGACCTGTTCCAGGCCTCACCCCATGGCTGGTGGGTATTGTCTTCTCCCTGTGTATCTTCATATCAGCTTCTCTGTATCAGTCTGCTCCAAATCCCTTTTTCTATAAGAACACAAGTCAGAGTGGATTAGGGTCTACCCTAAGAATTATTTTAACTTGATTAACCCTGTGAAGACGAGGTCTCCAAATGCGGCCCCGTTTTGGACTACGGTGGAAGGAAAAGAAAGACTTCTCAGCTCATAGCAGCCAGGAAGCAGTAATGGAGACCGAGGAGCCAGGGACAAGATACAATCCCCAGGCTACCTGACCCCAGTGACCTACTTCCTTCTGCCATGTCCTACTCGCCTGTAATTATCACCTAGTAGTCTGTTCCAAATTTTAATCTATCAGCTGAGTTAATCCACTGATAAGGTCACAGCTCTCAAATCTTATCATCTCCGAATGTTGCTACACTGGAGATCATGTTTCCAACACATGAGCTTTTCAGGGACAGTTCATAGTCACACAATAACACGGTCTCAAAGTAGAAATAGAAAGGGCTGAAGACAGCTCAGCGGTGGAGCACCCCTGGATTGATTCCAGTACTGACAAATAAACACATGACTAGATAAATAAATAAAAGACGTTTTCAGGACGTGCGCCTATAGATGAAGAGGAGGAAGGAAGCAGGAGGAGTCGGGGAACAAAGTTCTGGGCAGGATTTTGAATGGGACTTTCCTATTTCAGAATATCAGCCTGAGCGCCAGAGGAGGACACAAGGGACAATAGACACTCCCTCATTCCACAGAGAGGAGCTAAACGTGGATGGAGGGCTGACAGAAGGAAAATGCTCTGTGAGCCTCACCCTGGGCCGCCTGCATGAGTGCAAGCAGATGCATCCAGGGTTCAGTGGGAGAGGCGGGGTGTGAGTGTGAACAGACGAATTTTCCCTCTTTATTTTACTGCATATAGAGTAAGCATATTAGCAAATCTTGTTAGTAAGTAAATCTTTCTAACCTTGTGCAAGCTGAATGCAAGAGGGAAGGGAAGACAAGCACCAAGTGAACATCCATAAAACTCGGGAACCTTGGAGAGAAGGGGCAGAATCTACACATTTGGGATGTGGGGGGGTTTGCTTAGGCCACCTCAGCCACCAGGCCGGGGACTTGGCAGAACTCCTGTGGGGCTACAGCAGGTCCACCAGGGTGAGAGGGATACAGAAATGAGCTCTTGCTTTTCACCTCTAGATCCGCAGGTAAGAGTCTGGCTGGAATCGACCCTGAACACAGAAGGAGAGGGAGGATGGCAGGCCCGGGGCAGGGGGGAGATGGACAGCCTTCCCTGGCCGAGTGCACATGGCAGCAGCTGGCTGGTGTGGAGGCTTTGGGAGACACACACTCGAGAGGACCACCTGCCGGAGGGAGGGTCCCAGGTGAGAGCCTGGAGCGCATGGCCGGGGGGAAGGACAAGTGTCTCCTGGGAGTGCACTTCCGGGACCGGAGCATGTCCCGTGGAGGTGGTTGAAGTGGCCTCCAGAGCTCCTAGGGGTCCTCTGAAGAACTTCCCATTGTGTGAATGTCAGATCCAAGTGCCCTGAATGCCAATTATGTACTCATCTCTCAGCCAAACCTTGAACTGCTCAAGAAACTAAAGTTCTGATCTAAACTGGAATGCACACTTGAACATGCAAAAACTAAACTGTCCCAACAATCTGGAAGTAAAAAGTGGTGGGGTCTGCCCCACCCAAGACCCGCAGTGAGGACCCATGGTGCACAAATGAAGAGCCACGGGGGTCATCAGGCCATGCCGTGTTGGCGGGTCTTCTAGCCAAGCTCCTGGAGACACCATTTAGGCCAAGCACCATGCACCCACACGGTGCATTCTTCTCTGTTCCCCAAGTCCATTGCCTCCAGACCTGCGCGTCCAAGATGACGTCCTGTCCTCTCCGAAGTCTTTCCCCCTTCCCTTCTCTCTCGTTCTTCCCACTCTTTCACCTACGCCGAGCTGTTGGAAAACACCACAGAATTACCACCTCCGCGCTGTAGGGCTTGGTCTGCTGTGAGTAGAGTTATGTGTTTTAAGGTCCCTGGGCCCTGGATGTTGTGTCACCCATGGAGAACAGAGTGCTCAGGCTCAGCTGACAGCTGTCGGGGAAGTAGGTAAGGGAAAGGGCCAGAGGCAGTGGACAAGGTCCCAGGAGTTAGCACCTGGCTCCCACAGACCAGGTGGCAGAAGCCAATGAGAAGGGGCCCTTGACAGCCACACGTGCACAGATGTGTCCTCACCCGCTGGCCCTGGCTTTTATAGGAACAGTTGTTTGAGCAACTCAAAGCCCGCATTATCAGATTGCTTACTACCTATTTTTTGATAGAATGGATATAAAACTTATCAGACACAAATTTTTAGTGTCCTTTCAGGAGTTCAAGGTAGCGCTGCGTCCACTACGAGAGGAGCGTACACTGAGGCCTCTCCTTGTGCTCAGCATGGCTTGTGGCGAGCAGATTGCCCAGCGGACACCCTGGAGCCCCTCCCACAGCCAGGTGACAATAGGCTGGAGAACCCTGGGCGTCCGAGGACAGGGGTTGGCCTGTCACTGCTCTTGCCCCAGAGCTCCAAGTCCTCTGCAGTCTTCCTGCCCTCCTCCCGTCCTCCTTCTGAGACAGCCCGTCTGGAAGCCTCCTCTCTCCTGTGAACGGGGAGCGTTTCCAGAAGCAGGGCCTTACTTCTTGTGAAAACTTTGTTGGTCTCCTCTCCTGTCATCTCTCAGGGTGTCCCTCTCCTGCGTGTGGGAGACCCGGAGCGCAGGGCTGAAGGGAGTTCTGAGTGTGGTGGACATTTGCTTCCCAGAGGCCCTCACTGGCTCTCGGGGTCTCCCCAGCTGAGTCCTCTCTGCTTCTGTCCACCCAACACCAAAGCCCAGCACAGCCAAACTGGCTTCGTCCCCTCTGGTTCTTGCCCTTTCCTTTCAAGTCTTTTCTACTTTTTATGCAACATAATAAAGTGTCGGAGGCGGCGTTGCCATGGCAGCAGCGTGCTGTGGGCCTCTGAGCATTTGAGCTCTGCACTTTGAGAAGGGAGCTGGCCTCCGAGCTGGAGGGGAGGACGGAGGACGGGAGCAGGGAAGGCAGGCCAGGCCCGAAAATGCATTCGCGGTGACATCACTGCCTTTCCCACAGAGCCATTGACACGGGAGGCCACAGTGCCCATTCACTGCCCCAAAGCCGCTCTCCAGGCCCCGGGAGCCACCTCCCTCTTCCTGAATGCCGTTTTTGTTGGGAAACAGTGGAGCGTTTCTGAAGGCCTGCATAAATGACTGAGTAATTCACTGCAGTTGCCAGGAAGTCTGAGCCACTTGTGAGCCAACAATAGTGAACTTTATCTCCCGCCCCAAGCTGGAAGTTCCAGCTGTAGGTCCCGAATTCTAATGAGGGCCCTACTCATGCCTCTGAGGTTATGGTGATATTTTACCCATCTTTTCTTTTTCTTTTTCTTTTTTAACCAAGACACTGTTATTGCTGCTACTGAGAACCGGAGGTGAGTCCTGAGGGCTGCGGTGAGCTGGGGGCGTGTGTGTGTGAATGAAAATCAGAGGAAGGAAGGCAGAGGATGGTTTTCCTGGTAGCTTGACGGGTTTGCTATTTCATAGGAGACTGAACTGACCTAGAAGAGTGAAAAGAAAGACTTCACTCTGACCCGTAAATCCCTGAACCAGAACGATAACTTTAGGAAATTTTCCATGTTTTAAACACTGCTTCTCTTGTCTTTTTTTTTTTTTCAGCTGAAAACTCGGCAGCCAAGGCTGGTGATGTGCTTGGCATGAGCATGGGGCCGTTAGTTCCCTGGTGTATAGGGAAATGCCTGGCTCACTGCTTAGCAATCGCCTATCTCAGGCCAATTCTGCCTTAAAAGCTGGTTCTCAGCTAGCTGAACTAGAAGTCAACGCGCCACCTTGTCGGCCCAAGGACACACCCTAAAGTGCCAGCAGAGAAGGTCAAGAATTCTAATCCCCTGGGTGACCCCAGAAGGAAGGATTCTAGTGGCTGGTCACTGTGATGACAGACAGACACTATGAAGAACTTCCCATGTGGGCTCTCATACCCATGGCCCCAGTTGCTCTCCAGGATGTCCCTCAGAGGTGACTAGCATTTCAACCACACCTATACCAGTGTCTGGGGACCCACTGTGGCCTTTGTAGGTGGCAGAGGTCTGTTTCTCCAGCTCCTAAGGTCTGTTTCAGGTTTCTCATGATCTTCTTGAATAGGAGCCCCTCATCAAGATCAGAGGTCTCCTGAGGGTGGGGTGGGGGACGGCATGTGCCTGACAGCTTGACCTCCTTGTCCATCCTTCCATGAAAATATACCAAATAAAACATCAGGAGTCATGCGTTCAGCTTCCTAGACGTCAGAGGATATCGCGATCTATAAACTCCCTGCAGGTAGAGAAATAAACCAGTTTCAACAGAGCTCCTGCCCCCATCTCTGCAAGGTCCTGGGAATGAAAGTAGGGTTGGCAAGGTGTAAAGAGAAGACAGGACGAGGATGACTTAGGTAGAGACTCTCATGAGAAATCTAACAGGAAATGCTGAAGGACTGGTGAGAGTAGAGGGTAAGGCAAAGGACTTGGAGTGTGAACAGGACTGGAGGAGGTGGCCCCGGGGTGTGCTATGTGGAGTAGAGTTGTACGAATGAGGAAAGGGTGGTACCTGTGGAACCACACTAGCCAGGAGAAAGAAGGAAACAGGAGGGGCTAAGAGGTCTGCAGGGGTGAAAGAGTAGTACACACGCCAGCCAGGCCATTCTTCTCTCTATGCGGCCACCACCTCCCTTCACTAAGAAAACCATCCACCAGCAGACGGGTGTTCAGCATTGCACTGTCTGCTACAAGTCCCATCCAAGCAATGACGGCTGATGATGCAGTGATCCAAACAGGCATCACACGCATGCCGTCATTGTCAGAGAATAGAAAACAGAGCACACAGAAGACGCAAAGACTCAGAGAAAAACTCCAAAACAAAAGAAACAAAAGGAAGTTGTAATGAGATAACCGAAACTGAGGGGAAAGATTCAAGCAAGCATTTGAAGATAGGGAAACACCTTAGATACAAAGTTTAAAAATCAAAAACCATAGGAAACACACACACAAAAAGAAATGAAACAAGAATCAATGGAATTCAGGGGAAAAGTGGAAGGAAATGATACCATGACATAGATACATGGTACTGTGCATTAATAGATAAAAGCAGTTTTTAAAATAATGAAAGACAAAACCCAATAGCTAACTTAACCATGGAAAATAGAAGCAAAATTTTGCAAAATAAAAAATGGAAAGGAGTAAATTACTATAGAGAGAAAGTTAAATCCTAGAGGAAGACTCGTACATATGTGTGCAAAGGCATTTATAAAGCCTGAAGGAGTGGCTAATTTCCTAGTAGAATACAGTTTTCCAAAGTTAACCTTAATGGAAGCTCAAACAATTTCCACAGAAGAAACAGAAACGTATATTGGGTTCTATGCCTCAAGACACCAAGCAGTGTCAGAGGGAATGTTTGCAGAGCTTCAGAGAATAGCTCCAATGCTACAAAACTTGTTTTAGAGTTTAGAAAATGAAGAAAAGCTCCTGAATTCTTTTTGTGAAGAATTAATACCATTGATGGATAAGCTTGATAAAGGTAGCACAATATAAGAAATCAGAGTGAAACTGCACTTACTAATAGTAATGGTAAAATCCACAGTTCACCATGACCATTTGTGGTTTTATACCAGAATTCAAGGATAGTTCAGGATTAGGGAGTCTTATTAATATATTTCATCATATAATTAGATCTAAAGAGAAAAATCATGTGACTATTTCCAGTGTTGCAGAAAATAGCCATTGACAAAATCCAACTCCATTCTTTATAAAAATTCTTAAAAAAATAGGACTGGAAATTCAAGACTTTAATAAATATATTCTTAAGAAAAAGATTATTAAGAAAATTCTGGAATTCTGGCTATTGAGATGTAGTTCAATTCCAGAATCAATTTTAACCAAGAAACACTAGAGCTATTCCTATTGAGGTCAGGAAGAAGACAAGGACTCCTGCTACCATAACTCCTACTTCAGATTGTTCTGTGAGTACTGGCCAATGTAATTGGACTAGAGAAAAGGATTAAAGGAAAATAAATATAATTTTCTTCAGGTGACAGGATGGTGTGCCTGGAGAACTCCAGAGGATGGATGATAAAACTCAGTTAACTGAAAAAAAAATTAATCAATTAGGATATAAAATTTAAATGCAAAATCAATAGATTTTATATTTACCAATAAACAATTAGAAGATATTACAAATGAAAAATCCCAATTAAAGTGCAATAAGTGATAAAATACACAAAGTTAACTCAAAAAGAATTGCTTAAACTCAATCTCAAATAAATCATAAGGCACCCCAGAAAGACCCAATAGGGGATGTAAGTATTTAAATATCATCAGCATGAAAACTCCCCCAAGTTAATTTGTAAACTGAGTTCATTCTTACTTAAAAAACACACACACACACAGCTTTCTTCCTATAGTAGACAAGTTGAAGTTCAGTGAAAAGGAAGAAGTAGTATACAATAAAATATACTATAAGCATCTATGATTAAAACAGAATGAAAGAGTTTATGGAAGAAGAAACAAGTGGAATGGAACAAAGAATCCAGAAAGAGAATCAACTACATATTAAAAATTCAGTATAATATGAAGGTGGTATGTCACATCATTGGGGGCCAAGATGGACTTCTCGATAAATGATACTGGAGTAACTAGGTAGTCATTGGGAAAAAGATAAAATTAGATCTATTCCCTTCCTTCATGTAAGAAAGGATTTCTAAAAAAAATTCAAAATCCATACATAATAAATGCAAAGACTGAGTTAGCATATATTGGGAAAAATCCAGCTCTTGCATAGTAGATAAAACCATAAATAAAGTCAAGAGATAAATGACAAACTGAGAACAATGCAGATGAAGTGCTATACACTATATCTATAAATATCTATCTATCTATATACACATATGTAAGTGTGTGTGTGTGTATAGATAGATAGATAGATAGATAGATATAGATATAGATATATACACACACATACATACAAAATACATTTATGCAATGGAGAGAAAAATGACCAAAAAGCTTATAGAAAAATAGATGCAAGTTACTCACAGATAGCAAATCCAGAAAAGAGATTTTAAAATGACTTATTTATTTGCAAAAGATGTTTAACTTCCCTTTTAATAAGAGAAATAAAAATTAAAGATACGATAAATAGTATTTCTTACCCATCCATTTTGATAAAATATGGAAGCTGGACAGTTTAATCTGTTGGCAAAGCTATCTGGAAACATGGATGCCCTGCTGGTGGGAGTTCAAATGGCCCAGCTCCTGTGGCAGGAATTTAGCACTTTCTAACATTTATGCATATGGTTGTTATTCAACCTGGACATCCAGTTCTAGAAATATATTCTGAAGATATATCCCCAATAATACAAAAATGGTACATAGTTATTAGTTGCAGCAATATTTATAATTGTAAAATGTTGGTGGCTACCTGGCTACCTGCACACGAGGACCTGATTTATAAACTGCTGGGCATACGTGCAGTGGAATGCTGTGGAGCTGGGGGAGAAGGAGATGGAGCTCGAGACAGAGCAGTGGTGATGTTTGGAATGTGCTGTTATGTGAAAAAGCAAATTGTGAGAAAGGAGAAAATAATGGAGACAATCTGCATATATTTTAAACCTTGAAACACATTGACTAAATCAGATCCCGATGAAGCTGGTCAACTCCTTTGATAGGGAAGAGTTGGAAGGAAGGGAAATGGAATGGATAAGATTTGTATAGTCATGGAGTTGAGGTTTATGTGTTAAAACTGGGTATATTTCAGATAATCCCCAGACTAAGATGGGCATAAGGAGGAGACAGGACTAAAAGGAAACTGAAGCAAACAGATGAGCAACAGCCACACTGAAGTGTCGGGGGGAGATCTCAGTGACTTAGGAACAGGGTTGACGCTGTACCCTGCGTCTTGGGCACAGGTGGGAGAGATCTGCAAGCCAGCCTTCTTTTCTGTCAGAATTTGGGTTGTGAGAGCCAACTGAGGAGCTGCTTCAGGTCTAGGCAGTAACTGAGCTCACGTGAATGGGTGAAGAATGCATATCCACCAGACCATGCTATCTTCACACCCCAAGCTTTTAAATCTGTTTTTGTGCTATATTTCTTCTACGTACCTATTCATCTACTTCCCTATCTTCCTGTATATCTGCCCAGTTGACATGGGCCTTGCCACCAAAGGAATCCAGCAAAATTATAAACCCACCCAATCTTTTGCTCCAAAGCAGAACAGCCCTGTAGACAACCTTACCCGCTGCCTTCAGAAGTGCATTGGTCAGTTTTACTGACCCTGACTCACTTGTGAAAGGAATCTCTATTGACTGATATCTTTTTTAGGATCTCAAAATTCTGGAGGTGAATTTTCTCAATCTCTTTTCTAAAGTGTTGGAAAGGATGATCTGTCCCTGAAAGGTGAAACTGAAGCAAAGCCTGGTGTCTCTGTCTACCTGGAACACACCCGAGTGTAAGCAAGAGGCCAGAGTCTGCCTTCAGGGCCTGGGACCTGAAGTGTGCAGAGGTTCCAGCCCAGAGACTCGGCTTCTGGCTCCAGGTCTAGGGTCACAGCTCACCACAGAGGAGAGAGCTCCTAAGAGTCAGAACAGCTGGTTTTTGAGAGAAGCTTTTTCTGGATAACTGGGCATTGCCCAAAGTGTCCTCTTTAATAGTTAAGTCAGTTCTAGAAATCCCTGTGAGGAAGTCTGAGCCAAGGGCTCTCCAGACTCCATGGAGAAGTCCAGAGGATGGCCACTGTTTGAAACCAAAGAGGTGTCGACCTTTGATCTCCTCTTGGAGTGAAAAGTACTGACTCATCTCCCTCTTACAGAGGTCGACTAATGAATCATGACCAAATTAAGAATCCTTTTTATTTTGCCCTCCACAATTACCAGGCAGCATCTGCTCTATTTCATCCTGTTTAAGGCTTTGAGTGTGTGTGTGTGGTGTGTGTGTGTGTGTGTGTGTGTGTGTGTGTGTGTGAGAGAGAGAGAGAGAGAGAGAGAGAGAGAGAGAGAGAGAAAGATGCATGGGAGCATTCATGGTGAATGGTTAGTCACTGCCAAAGCATTATCAGACCCAACGTCAAGTACTGAATGTCCCTGACCAGCTCTTCCTACGGAGGCTCTGCTCTTAAACTGGTGCACCTCCCTGGCAAAGAGATCTAAACCATTTTTAATGGGAAATCCTAGGCGTGTGTGTAGAAGAGCTTATACACAGTTTCATTCAGTGCGTGCCACACAGGACACACGCTACAAATGCCACAT